AAAGAACAGATTGCATTAGGCAAATCTGCTGCACAAGACCTTTTTAAAGTGTTGAAGAGCAAAGATGTCAGCTTGAGGACTAAGGTGTGCCTGAACCAAGCCATGGTATTTTCAATAACTTCATATGCATGTGAAAGCTGGACAGTGAATAAGGAAGACTGTAGAAGAATTGATGCTTTTGAATTGTGGTGTTGGAGGAGAATATTTAAAGTGCCATGGGCTGCCAAAAGAACCAACAGATCTGTTTTGGAAGAAGTGCAGCCAAAGTGCTCCCTGGAGGCCAAGATGGCCAAACTTCGTCTATCATACTTCGGACATATTGTCAGAAGGGACTAGTCACTGGAGAAGGATATCATGTTTGGTAAGGTGGAGGGTCAGAGGAAGAAAGGAAGATCCCCAACGAGATGGATTGGCCAAGTGGCAGCATCCATGGACTCAAGCGTGGCAACAGTAGTGAGGTTGGGCCAGGATCAGACAGTGTTTCGTTCTGCTGTGCATAAGGTCACTATAGGTCGGTACCGACTCAATGGCACCTAACAACAACAAGAACAAGGTGAAGCCTGGAGTCATGGTGGCTCTATAGGGTACGCGCTGGACTGCCAACCATAAGGTTGGTGGTTTGATCCCACCAGCCACGCCATGGGAGCAAGATGAGGCTTTCTGCTCCCACACAGATTTATAGCTTTGGAAACACTATATATGATCTCTTTAAGTCCAAACCGACTCCAACATCAATAGTAACAACAAGGTAAAACCTGAAGAATGAGGAAGACTTAGCCTCAAAGACAGGAGAGAGAGTTCCAGGCAGAGAACCACATTAGTAAAGGCACGTGGATAGTAGAGGGAGGTCGCCAGGAGCCCTAAGACTTAAGAGAAACATGATGGCAGTGGCTGATCCTGCCACAAAGGATAACGAGACATTCAATGCCCAGTTTGAGATCCTCTGAGATTCATCTAGGGAGCTATTAGAGTTAGCTGGGAAGCAGGAGCCTCTTTGTTTTAAACTTTTTGGAGAGCTTGATTATGGTATGTCTCTGTGATTTTCTTTTGGGGTCTGTCCTCCTTAGGGTTCGTTCAGCTTCTTGAATGTTTATCTTCTCATCCTCCAAGATGTTAGGAAAATTTTCTTCCAGAAGCTCTTCAACTATCTCTTCTGTGGACTTCTGTGATTCTTCCTGTTCCGAAATGCCAATAATTCTTAAGGTATTCCTCTTCATGTTATCCAGCATGAATCTTAGATGCTCTTCAGATTTTTCAATCCTTTTTTCTGCTTTTAGCAGTATTGAGAGATTTGTCTTCCAGATTGCTGGCTCTGACTTCCATATTTTCAATTTTACTCCTTTGCCCTTTCAGTGTATTGTCCACTTCTGATATTTTATTATTAATCATCTGGACTTCTTTTTGCAGGTTTTGAATGGTTTCCAATGCCATATCTATCTTGTTTGATTGCTCCTGTAGCACTTTCCTGACTTCTTATTTTCCTCCACCCCTTTTCAGAGCATTTGAATTTGTTTCCATATCATTCTTCTGAATTCCTTCTCAGGCAGATCCAGTGCCTGCTCTTCTACTGGAAAGTCTGTGTCTACTTCCAGCTCATTTGTCTCAGTTACTTTTTTCTGTTTTGGACATGTGTTGAGATCTTTGTGTTTTCTTGGAAATTTTCAGTAGTTATGTGGGTTTTTAATGCTTAAATGGATGTATGTTGCTTTGTTGTTAAGCTTACTGAGTGTCTCCTGGTGGATATGATCTGGAGATAGGCTTCCCTTTTCATGTATAATGCCTAGCAGCTGGTATTGGCTCTTGTCCAGATGATGGGGTATTAAAGGGTATGCTTGTAGCTTGGCTATATGAGCACAGTTGCTGTCTCTTCTTGGGTAAGGTAGGGGGAGAAAGCTCCAACCCCTGGGAAGAGAGTGAGACCAAAAGGACCAAAGACAGAAACAATATAAAAGCAGAGACAGAAACCACCCATCAAAAACAGAAGTAAAATCGTGATAGACTGTCCAGTGACCTTTGCTGTGCAGGCAGGGATAAAGGGTCCCGTCCAGGTCAACTTTGGGGCTGGATCCCACAGTTAAACATCACAAGAAGCAGCCTATGGGTTTCCTCTCTGTACTGTGGGGAAACTGTGGGTGCAATGCTGGACCCTTTTGGGGGTGTGCTCACACCCACCTGAAGGCGTCTGGGCTGGGCAGTGAGGGCGCGATCAGAGTAAAGAGGAAAGATACATGAAAAATGAAAGATGAAAAATCGGTCACACCTCTCCCTCTAGACACACAGCTCCACAGCCCTGGGTCACTGCCTCCCTACAAATGAATTTAGAGTCTAAGGGATACTTCCTCCTTTCTCAAATTTCATAGTTAGAGCAATTAAATTAAGGGGTCCCCATAAGCTCAGCCTATGAGCAGTAGGCTGGCCCATTTCTAGAGGTTGCCCACATCTGCCTTCCAGCAACAGAAAATGACATATTGGCCTTTGAAACTTTCATGTCATCCTTCCTAACTTGTCCATTTGAGTGTTAATATCTACATGCACAGCTAGATTGTTTTTTCCTTCAGTGGAACTCTCTGTAGTACCTTGTGGGATATTTATACACACTTTCTAAGTGCTATAAGTTGACCCCAACTTGTTTGCACTGAAGGCTCCATTGCCAGTGCTCTTTGGAAAGTAGATTTGTTTTCTCAAAGGACCATGAACCATGACACCTTCCAGCCCACCATTTATAGTCCTCTAGTCAAGGGCAGGGAGTTGTGGTGTGGCACTGTGGGCTAATGAATGCGTCAGACTGCAAAGTCGTTTGAACTACAAGGTTGGTGGTTCAAGCTCACCAGTTGCTCCTTGGAAACCCTATACATGGTCCGAATTGACTTGATGGCACTTAACAACAACAGTCAAGGGTAGGGAGTCCTAGTGTGGTGCTGTGGGTTAATGCACCAGACTGCAAAGCCATTTGAACTACAAGGTTGGTGGTTCAAGCTCACCAGCTGCTCCTCAAAAACTCTATACAGGGTAGCTATGGGTCAGAACCAACTTGACAGCACTTCACAACAACAACAGTCATGGGCAGAAGGAGCTCTGGTAGCATAGTGGTTACAAATTGGGCTGCTAACCCCAGGGTCAGCAGTTTGAAACTGACCGCTGTTCCACGGGAGAAAGATGAGGCTTTCTGCTCCCATAAAGATTTACAGCCTTGGAAACCCTGTACAGGGTCGCTATGAGTCGGAACCGACTCCACGGCATATAACCACCACCACCACTCAAGGGCAGAGACTTGAATGTAGGAGATCCTGGCTTAACCCTGGCATTCCCCTGACATGCAAGTGATTTATCCTCTGAACTTCAATCTCATCAATAAACAAGGGGCTCAGAGTCCTTTCCTCACAGGGCAAGTAAAGGGATTAGATAAGACAAAAGTATATAAATCCTGGTGTGGCGCTATGGGATAAACACTGCAAGGTTGGCAGTTCAAACCTACCAACCATTCCTTGGAAATCCTATACAGGGTCACTGAAGTTGGAACTGACTTGATGGCACCTAACAACAGCAACAGTGTGAATTTGTTTTCCTGATTGGCAAGCAGTCTGGCCAAGACTTACTTGAGTATTTGGCTAGCCAAGTAAGGATAGTTTAACTCACATATTTTCCAGTTTAATGAACAAACTTCTGAGGTAGGTAAGAAATGGAGTGCATAGTGCTGGTAAAGTCTTCATCCGTCAGTACACTGAAACCAAGAATCTCATTTGAAATGCCAGCTATGGTAAATTAGCTACCCATTCATAGAAACCACCAACTTTGTTTTGAAATGTTTATACCAAAGCTGATCATCTGTATCCTTTTGCTTCCTCCTCTTTAGAAGTTCACTTGAAAAAAGGGACAAAGCAGATGAGAGTATTCAGTGGTTGGAAATGCACAAGAAGAAGTGCCAAGCAATGTCTAAATCCGTGACCTTGCGTTCAAAAGCCTTGGATCCACATAAAAGTCTGGAGGAAGTGTTCAAAGCAAAGCTGAAAGAAAACCGGTCAGTGACCTCCATGTATTAAAGGGGTGTCTGTTTTGGGAGTCAACAGATCATTGGCCTTGAAAACAGCAAAATGGAGTTATTAGGGTAGGCACCTATACCAGGTACAGTTAGGAATTTACAGTACACATGGGCGTTAACTCAGCTTAAGTGGAATGAAAGGCACTCTGGATTGGAAAATGACAGTATTCTTTCTAGAAATCTTGTTAATTCCAGGAATAATGACCGCAAGAGAGCAAAAGAATATAAGAAAGAATTGGAGGAAATGAAAAAGAGAATACAAACAAGGCCCTATCTCTTCGAACAAGTTACCAAGGTAAAACAAAACCATCATTCATTTTCTTTCTTTCTTGGTTGAAAGGGCCCTTAGAAGTTAGGAAGCAATTTTAAGATTTTAAAATTGCTTTAAAAGCAATTTTAAGTATTGAATATTTCCTTCAGACTCCTATTTTAAATTGGTCCTGTTTTATTGCTACCATCTTCCCCCGTTAAAGCAGTGCAGTGGGGAATGTTGCTTGGACAGATTTCATCTAAGTCTGAACCTCAATGGCATCTATAATGGGATATTTCACATTTGAGGGTTTTCCTTATAGTCTAGTTTTCAGTATGAATCAGACTGGGAGCAAGATTCCCAAGATGCAGTGAGTTTGGCTGTGTTTTTAAGACTATCTTTCACTTCCTAATGTGACTGACATGATCTGGAGCCAAGGTTCATAGTGCTGGGAACACAACTTCCCCCCAATGGTGCAGGGCCCCTGCACTTCCCCAGTCTATAGAGCAGGGGCACATAGTCATTGAAGGATTAGAGGCATTCCATAAACTCTTTCCAGACTAAGTTGTTTTTCAGACAATAACAATTTTTAAATTGTCTCCGAAAACATTTGGACTCAGCTGAGGTCTCCCAAAGAGCTACTAGAACAGCCCAGAAAGGCCTCCATGCAGCAGCTTTGGACTCCAATAGCATATATGGATCCCTCGCCTCTCCCACACTTCAGACAACATTGGGGACCCCCTAGTAATCAATTGCTGGGCACTAGCTAGCCATACATCCACCCTGTAGTCAGTGCAGTATCTAGGCATTTCCTGGGTCCACTCCATCCTGTGCATCCAAGTTCACGCAGGTACTTGTACACTGGGCTCTTAGATTTACTTAACAACTTGTATGGTTATAAATTTCTCATACTAACCTTTCCTCTTTGTTCGTTTCAAGAAAGCGCAGTTTCAAATCTCAACAGATCTTTCACCATTGCAGGAAGAATACAAAGTACTTTAATTTTGTTCTTAATCCCCTAAATCCATACATAGACCATCTGTCCTTTTGTTAATAATGTTACGAGTACAAATTATTTTCTACTTGCTCCTGATGCTGGCTTGTTGCTTTTAAATTATAATTTTAAAGTTTTAAAATCTTAAAATATTTTTAAGTCTCTTTCTTCTGGGTCTTCCAAAACCCTAAATCCTTGCTTCTGAAAGTGTGGTTCTTGGGCCAAAACTCTTGGGGAGTGTGTTAGCAGTGGCCCCTGAGACCAACCAAATGGGCATCTTCATTCCAACAAAGTCCTCAGATGCTTCACCTGCACATTAGGTCTTGAAAACAAAGGAAGTTATTTCCATGCAGACCTGTGCTCAGCAAAAATGGTTGCACTGAAGGGCTGGGGAGGGTGGGGCAAGCGGAGCAATCATGAGGGGATACTGATGAAGCTCACTTTAGAATAATCAGGAAATCCCTAAAACAGCTACAGCAGATTCTCATCCCACAGGACCTTGCCAGGAAAGCAGCAGAGCAGCGATATCGAGACACCCTGAAGCAGGCTGGGTTGGATGAAGACTTTGTGAGGAGCCAGGGTCAAAGCACCGGAGCCAAAGAAAGGCAGGAGTCAGGAGTCACTGATCCCTACAGGTCGTGAGATGCTACCGTTCTGCAGCTAACTCACCAGGCTCAGTAATACCAAGGGGAAAACCCTCTAAACCTGTCACTGAGTTGATGCCAACTCATAGCTATCCTGTTTAAGGTTTCTGAAACTGTAAACCTTTCTACCGCGGAGAGGCTAGTGGGTTTGAACTGCTGACTTTATGGTTAGCAGTCCAGTGCTAATCCTATAGCACCACCAGGAGATCCCTTTAGAACAGCCATATTTTGAAGTCACAAACCTGTGTTTATATACTAATCCAGAGATGTCCAAGGTAAACACTTGAACTTGGAGAGTAGTTCAGTTGTGAGTAAAATATCATCAGTGTATGTCTTAGGTTTTTGGTTGTGAAGTGCTGTTGAGTCAGTTCCATCTCATAGTGATCCTCCTGTACAGGATTTGGTATCTAAGGACCGGCTGGTGGGTTTGAACTGTGGATATCATGGTTAGCATTCCAGTGTTTACCTTAAAGCGCTATACCAGTACCAGGTCTCCTTTGAAACAGATAATATTTCAGTTCCACTGCCCTGAGTCAAAAGTATTTCACTTCTGATGAAACACCATGCATATTTTGACTTTCTGTAAAATGGTAACTACATTTTCTAGAACTCCTTAAAAGCCATTCAGTAGTAAGTAGGACCTCTTCCATGACACTGTGTAAGTCAAGTTTGGTTTGTTTCTTAAATCATATTGACCCCTGCTGAGTTCTATCCTGTCTGGAAATGTCCCTTTATGCCCTATATAAAATAATGAAAATATTATTGGAGACCTTATATAATGCTTTCTTTAATCTAAACCTTTTTCTTTTATAATGCTTTCATTTATTATGCAGCATCCATGAAATGACAAAACTCCAAATACGGGAGCCACAGGATTCAGAAGAATCTCTAGAACTGCCTGCAGGCCTCAAGACAGACCTGGAGGAACTTTCTTTTGGATCACTGAATAATCTCAAATCAGTTGCTTCATCAGTGCACTTATAAAACCCCTTCTGAATAATATAACTTGAAGCTGCGTTATGGCTGCTCTTGGAGAGAAGTTTGGGGAACTGAGCAAGGTTCCGGGTAGAAGAATTACAGCCCAGCATTTGGGGTTCATGCTTGGTGTCTCACACTGAGAGACTAGACAGAGACATAAATGAGTGAAGTGGGCTGGGTATAAGAGTAGGAAAAATTAGACGGCTGAGTAGAACCCTACGGAAATGCAGGCCAGTATTGTTAGACAGTCATGCTTTCAATAGAAACCAGAAATTTACATGTTGGTAACTAAGGAATCATTTAGAAATACTGTGTTGACAAAGCAGAACACATCTATAGAGAGGATTTGTAACATGGAAGACAACTTTGCAACTTTCTCAAGCTCAGAACTACTGACATTTTAGATTGGATCATTCTTTGTTGGGTGGGGTTGTCCTGTACACTTAAAGATGTTTAGCAGCATCCCTGGCCTCTACCTACTAAATACCAGTAGCACACTGCTACCCCGCACCCAATCAAGTTTTGAAACCTAAAAATGTTTTTAGTCATTGCCAAATGTCTCCTGGGTTGGGAGGCAACACTGTCCATGGTTGAGAACCACTACTCAAGCATGAAAGTAATAAAAATACCAGAAATGGCTGTGAATTCATTCAATAAAGCATAAGATGATTATGCATGTCATTAATGAATTAAGAACTTCAATTAACTTTAACTAGTCAATTCTTCCCTGTCATCTGTTTAGAATGTGTTACTTTGTGTGTGCATATGTGTGTATGTGTTGTATCTTGGGATGAAGTTCACTCTAAATAAATATAAACCTTCTCTGACTGGTATGTGATCTTTTCAGTAATAGTTAAATATGTCCTTTTACAAGAGTAAGGCTGAATATTTTCTTCATCTCTTTAAGAAAACAAATTTTGTCAAAACAAGAAGCCATAGAACTGACTGGGCTGTTTTGTTTATTTAAAGGGAAAACACTCGAAATCTCTTAATCATGTGTGTGTTGTTTTTTTTTAAAATTAAAACAAAGCAAAACAAAACCCCTCTTACCATGCTGCTTACTATGTTCCATAAATGAAAAAGCAAAGTAACCAGGTCAAGGTATATAGGACAAGACAGTAACCTCAGCCTGGGTCAAGGGAGGATTCAAGTAATTTATTTGTTTGCAGCCCAGTGGCAGAGTCTCGTACTCAGGTTGCTGATGGGAGAAGATCACAGTAGAACTGACATTTACTCCCTTCTGCAAAGCAACAAGGCATCGTGAACGCTCACCTCTCCTGGTCAAGTTTTATGGTTAACGGCAGGACTGAGTTTATCCATGTGAAAAGACAGCTGAGTCTGGGACGGAAACTCTTCAAAGGAAAACTGCCCATTAACAGTCAGAAAACTTCAGCCCACACATTACCAAATTCACTTTTGAGACAAGTCCAACCCAAAATTCCGCAGAGGGCTGACAATAAGTAGGCACAGTATCCCAGCCCACGGTTACTGCTTTGTTCCTTCTCTAGATCAGATGGCTCTTGAGGAGAAGCCCTCTTACATTCATCGTGTAAGTCAGGGAAGATGAACAGAGGCAAAAGTGGGGTCTCGTTCTTCACAGATTCATTTTGGTTCTGGTAGATCCTGAGCCAATAGGCATCCGATTCCCACTGTATGCTCTGGGATCAGATAGAGCTGCTCTAACTTCCAGGAGTTAGCACCAACACTCATGTCCGTCTGTCAGTTAGATCTCCTTGGTTTAGCAACTGTAAGAGATTAAAAAACAAACTAGAATACTTACAACTAAATAATAGGAAAAATAATAATAATTCAGTTTGTCTATTCCGACACTGGCCTTTTCACTAAGACAAGAAAACATCCTGCGACTATAAGCTAAACTGTCGCTTGTATATTTCACATTCGCCTGTAACTTGCAAGTCCTCAATAATGAATTACTCAACAATAATTTGATATAATCATTGGCATGACAGGTGAAATTAACCAAATCATGGGAGACACAAAGTAGTAGGTGATCATGTGAGGTGGTCTGAGAGGGCAGCATGACATGAATGCAATGAACTCTGAAGTACTCCTCCTACATGGAGAATGGTCTTGTGAAAGCAACTCCCGTCTCTACTAAGAGTAAACAGGGAGGACCTACAGTTTGGGTAGAAGTTACTGACTTTAAAATCTCAGGAGTTAAGACCCCAACTCAAAAGGTGGTACCTCAGATTCTGTTTGATGGGAAAGAAGAAAAACAGTCACTTACAGTCAGCGACAAAGAATTCCATCATTTCCAGGGGGAAATCAGGAATGGTGGAAGCAACATTAAATAAGCCAGTGAAAACAGAATAAAGGTCAAGTAGGAGGAAGAAACATGCAAGGAAGGCTATTTAAGGAAATTTAGTGGGCAGACAAATGTACTATAACAACAAAAGAATCAACCAGTCAAAATGAGAACGTGGGAAATTCTACATACAGGGCAAATACCCCAATTCCTTAAAATGACAACATCCTGAAAAAAGAAGAGGACTATTATAGATGAATACATTAACCAAATGCAATGGATGAGCCCCATTTGCTCCTGATTCAAACAAACTGTAAAAAAAGGAAAAAAAAAAAAAGGCATTTCTGAAGAAACAAAAAGCTCCAAATAATGAATATTAGATGATATCAATAAACTATGAGGAACCTGTACATAGACCAAGAGGTAGTCATGTGAACAGAACACGGTGACACGGAATGGTTTAAAATCAGGAAAGGAGTGCACCAGGGTTGTATTCGTTCACCATGCTTATTCAATCTGTATGCTAAGCAGATAATTTGAGAAGCTGGATTATATGAAGAACGTGGTATCAGGATTGGAGGAAGGCACATTAATAACCAGTGATATGCACATGATTTAACTGTGCTTGCTGAAAGCAAAGAGGGCTTAAAATACTTACTGATGAAGATTAAAGACCACAGCCTTCAGTATGAGTTGCAACTCAGTGTAAAGAAAACAAAAATCCTCACCACTGGACTAGTAAACAATATAATGATAAATGGAGCAAAGACTGAAGTTGTCAAAGATTTCATTTTTCTTGGATTCACTATCAACACTCATGAAAGCAGCAGTCACAAAAACAAAAAACATATGTACTAGGCAAATCTCATGCATAAAACCTCTTTAAAGTTCAAGAACAAAGGTCAGTTTGAGGACTAATGTGTGCCTGACTCAATCCATGGTATTTTCAATAACCTCACATGCATGTGAAAGTTGGACAATGAATAAGGAAGACTGTAGAAAAATTGATGCACTTGAGTTATGGTATTGGAAAAAAATATTAAAAGTACCATGGACTGTTAGAAGAACAAACAAATCTGTGTTGGAAAAAATACAGCCAGAATGCTCCTCAGAAGCCAGCATTATGAGACTTTGTCTCTCATACTTTGGACATATTATCAGGAGGGACCAGTGCCTGGAGAAGAACATCATGCTTGCTAAAGTGAAGGGTCAGTGAAAAAGAGCAAGACCCTCCATGAGATGGATTGGCACAGTGGCAGCAGCAACGGGCTCAATCAAGCACAGTAATGACTGAGAGGATGGCAAAGGACCAGGCCATGTTTCATTCGGTTGTGTACAGGGTCGCTCTGAGTTGGAACCAACTTGACAATACTTAACAAGAACAACATAGTGAGGCCATTAGAGTTACGAACAAATCCTTATCTGTTATATGTGTCAGAGGCCCTGGGGGCACAGTGGGTTAAGTCTTGGACTGCTAACCTAAAATACAGGTTGGTGGTTTGAAGCCAGCAGCCGCTCTGCAGGGAAAAGGTGAGGCAGTCTTCTTCTAGCATTTGCAGCCTCAGAAGCATGAGAGGGCAGCTCCAATCTGTCCTATGAGGTCACTAGGAGTTGGGGTCAACTTGTTAGCAGTGGGTTTGGTTTTGGTTAGAGGTCTACACTTAGATATTTACAGATGAAATGGTACGTCACGTGAGATTTATTTGCCTTAAAATACTCCAGCATAAAAGGGTAGACATACATTAACTCAGGTAAAGGGGAAGGTAATATACAGTAAGAGGGAGGTTGGCAAAAGAATGATGGAGGCAGAGAAAGACACAGGGAGGAATGCGTGCAAGAGTTAGACAACAGAGTTAGAATCGTTATATATACAATCCTGCAGTAACAGTGATCTTTGAGTAGATACACATGGGTAGACAAACAGGCTGAAGGGGTGTGGAAGGGAGAGTGGGAGTATACCCAAATGTATAAAGGTTTAACAAAGGATATTTGTACATGGTATTTACCTTTGCTGCAAACATATCCATGATGTGGTGGAACATACAGGGGGCAAAGTAATGAACACTTTTTAGTCATAACCAAAGATCTTAAGGGAATGAGTTGCTGGGCCTGGGGGCTCAGGACCATGGTCTTGGTGTACATCAAGGTCAAATAGCATAACACAGTCCACAGAGATAATGTTCTAACAACCGACTGCAGTAAGTAGTGACTGGGATCCTAAAAGTTCAGGAACAGCTATCTAAGGTCCAATTATTGGTGTCACCCTGTACGGCGGCGGAAGGAAGAGAGGAAAATTGAAGCTGCTTGGAGAATTACTCCAACAGACTAACAGACCACATGAACATTAGTGTCCACAACCCTGAGACCAGAGGAACTCGGAGGTATCTGGCAACCACTCCAACTACTCTGAAAGAGATCACATAAGACAGAGTAAGAGAAAATGTGTGACAAAACGCAAGATCATGAAAACAAGATCAGACCTACTATGGCCCTTCAGGTCTGGAACTGAACTTAACGCCTGTAGTTGAATTCTCAGCCAAGCAATAGATAAGCATGTAAGGGGGACAACACTAGTAAGGTACCCACACCACAGAACGGTGAACCATCCAAGATCAAAAGGGCAAGAGTTACCCAAAGACACAGTTCAGAAGGGTGGGAAAGAAGAAGGGATGGAAAAAGGACCACAGGGAGGGCGTGGGTACGTGATGTTACACTGAAGGGATTGCAGCCATTGAGAACAAACAACGCATGTGACTTGTTGGATGTAAAACTGACGATCTGCTCTGTAAATGTTCCCTCAATTCACAACAAAAAGTTAAAAAAAAGAAAAAAAACCCCCACATAAGTGAAACAGCAACACTCAAACAGAGCAATGAGATAAACAAGAATAATAGAAAGCTGATTGTCCAAGCTGGAGTTCATTACACTATTCCCTCCCCTGCTGTATGTACTCCTTGCAAATCTCCACAATAAAACTGAAAAACTGATGAGGTAAAGAGGGAAAAAATAGAGATTCCCATGGCACAATTTTCAGCGAAGTAATAACACAGTCCACAGGGGCACAACAACACTACTAAGGTCTGCACACTATAGAATGGTCACCATTTGAGATCAAATGGGAACATTTACTCAGATATGAAGTTCAGAGGACTTGGGAAAGAAGGAGGAATGGAAACAAGAAACACAGTGATAAAGTGGGATGTTACATTGAGGAGACTGTAATCAATGAGATGAAACAAAGTGTGTATCATTTGTGAAATGTAAAATTGGTGATCTGCTCTGTAAACCTCCACCCAATTCACAATACAAAATTAGGAAAAACAAAACAAAACAAAACAAAAAAACGGCAGAGAAAGAAGATGGTTCCAAAGCAGTAACCATGAGCAAGTCTAAGTGACCTAGGGAAGAACCAATGATCTCAATAGCAAAAAAGAAAGAAAGAAAGATTGATTCAATATATTATGGAATGCAAAGCTGAATATATGGGAAATGTTCTGGCAGAAACATTAACATGTGTGCCAAGAGGCCTGCCATTCTGGAATAACCCCAGAGATTTATAAAATAATTGAGAATATTCAACAGAGGATTGAATTATTTAAATGCTAGAGCAACTTACTGTGGCTTTAAGTTTAAATGAAGTATTTATTTGGGACAAAGATGGGAGAAGACTGAAAGATGCTACAGTGCTGAAGGGATCTCGGCTACACAGAGTTTGGAAAAAGTTTCTGCATGTAAAATAAGACTGTGACGAAGCCATCTCCAATGCCACCACTGTGTGTCATGAGGCCAATCAAAACACCATAAGATTCTGATCTTAGGAGACTGACTGGTTTTCATTTTACTTTCTGGGTCAAACACCCAGGACAATAGAGTTGGGGGTATCTGGAATCAACTTAAAACCCCTCTTTGATAGAGATGATGGTTGCTCATTCAAAAAAGCAAGTGAATATATTCCTATATGCCCTGTTGGTTCAGCCTGTTATTCCCCAGACATATGATCCTAGCAGACCGAACAATAATTATTTAAAATTACGTCCTTACTACTTTTTGTTGCCACAGGATCATTCCATCCTTGGATGCTGTTTTCTTTATACAAGAAAAGCAGTCTCTTCATCTCATAGTGAGCAAAGAATAGTGAGGCAGATACCTAGTATTAAGGACCATCTGTGACTAACCAGATGGCCTAATTCAGGGGACCCGCAACACTCAGATTCCATTCCAAATTGGATCTGTACTTAGTTCAAAGGGAGACACGTGAGTCCGGTAACGGGAACATCATTTTTTCTTTTCAGATCTTCTAAACTAGATTTCCAACCACTTTCCACACCTATCCCCACAGAATCTAATTAAGGGCAGAGCTTGTGGCTTTACCTCCTGTGGATTTACTGCCGTTAGGACAGAAACCTCATATGACTGTCTCCCTGACTGCATGGTCACCAAGTGATGGGTCACATCAGGCACTGAAGACAGGGGGCGTGGGGATCCTGCAGCAAGCACCTCTACAAAACAACAGAACAATGTTTCAATGAGAAGGGATCCATTCATATACCTACCTGTCTTATCAAGAACTTTAACAACTGTTCCCTGAAAAACTGAACCCCATGGTCCTACAGTTTTTCCAAATTAATTCCTGTCTGATAATCATTATCAATGAATTAAAGAGCACTACATAGGGAAGAGGTAAGGAAAAATATAATTTTGTGTGTGCGTGTGAAAATATACAAAGGAAAACATATACACAGAGAAATCCTGATATGAGAGTTGACCAATTTTTAACATAGCAAGTTAAAGTCGTACGACTTTAGCAATGTTGCCTGAATTAGAACTGTGCACGAAACCAAGGCAGACATATCAGGGAGCTAGAGTCAGCCCTTAAGGTCATCACCTGTGGTATAAATAACATTTATATAGGTGGATCAATATCTTAAGTCATAACTGGCTTCAAAGTTTCTACTCCTACACAAAATTCAAAGTGTTCCTTCCTCCCTTGAGACTTTCCTCTTCAGGGCTGGTAATCTAAACTGCACACAATCTCTAGCACTCATGTTTTAGTGATCCACCAGTACACTTTGTTCAGGAAACAGAGCATGCTTCTGTGGTAGCACACTGTGGGCCTTGTAGGCTCCATGAAGAAGTTAAACATATGGTCATTCTACCTAAAACTGACTGAGAAGGATATGGGAAACTAAAACATAGGATGATGATCCCAGACTTCTTAAATGTTCATTAGTGAGAATACCAGGAAAATCTTCTGGAAACCGTTGACAGACATACCACTTATCCCCCACACAAAAGTTAATTTAGGGACTTTCTAGCTCATACTGCTCCTTCCAGATGATACCATATAATCTAGTGTTTGCTTATAGACAAGCTTTTATTTACTCAATGTGGTTTCCCATATTTATGTCTTGTTTTCTCAACTAGGTTTTCATCTCTGCTCTTGTCTTTCCCATGGTGCCAGGCACACAGTAGGCACTGAATAAATGCATGCTGACCTCACCTGTTAAGTTTTTCAGAGAAGAAGGCCTGGCCTGTGTAACTTGAGTGAAATTTCTATACCAGAGAGGAGAAATTGTTTCCTAGACCTTTTTGTTCTCCAGAAGATATTGCTTTTGAAGGTCTGGAGAAATTGCTTTATATCTCCTCTGTAAACCTGGTTATATTCTGTATAAATGTTTTAAAAGTTAAGTTCTTCCAGAACTGCAATAGGAAAGATAGAAATAGTTGGGCTAGGATGCTAGGATTATGGATAACTTTTTTTTTTTTTTAATTTCTTCTTTATTTTTGTTATATCATCTTTTCAAAGAAAAAAAAAATCTTTTTAGTTTTACTTATTCACTCCAGAAACAAAGAACACAACGAATAATCATACCACAACCATACACAAGAAATCAAGTTAATAAAAACATTCATTTAGGAGATTACCCCATTCCTTTGTCTCTAGTTGCAGCCCACTTTCCCCAAATAAAGGCGAGTTGAAAGTCTTACCATCATCAACTCCCAGAATAGAACTGGAATTGGGTAGGTTCAAGGACTCTCCACCAAGGCTGGAGTGGGAATTCATAGACACCAGGTTTTTACTGGGTACTGAAGCCTCTTCAAGCAAACTACTGCCCATTAGTGGCTCAGCTGCACAGAGAACAGGGTGAGACACAGCAGTCAACCACTCTCCTGCTGCGTCTAGTCCGCACTTCCCTTCACAGGGGGGCTGGCCTTCTCCTACACAACTAGCAATTACCCTGGAGGCCACCTACGATGTCACTTACTTTTGGGAAACAAGAATAAACCTAAAGAAGGGCGTCTTAGAGATAAACATCCTTGCTTGTAACAGCATCTGAAGAACTAGCACATGAAATGGGATGGGCAAATCCTTACAAAGAAATATTTGAAATGAAATAACTGATTAAGGAAAGACATGGAAAAGGAGTAAGAAGGAAAAAGGGAAAAAAGAGTTATAAAATTTATGTTAGGGCAAAGAAGTAGTCATGACTAATAAATAGCAAAATGCCAAATCCTAGCAATACAGAAATCTTTATCACAATGCTAACTCAAATGCTAGTTTGTACTAGATGGGTACATTAGGGAAACTTTTGTTAGTGTCCTCGAGTTGGTTCCAACTCATAGTGACCTTGTATAGGGTTTCCAAGGACTGGCTGGTGGGTTTGAACCATTGACCTTGCGGTTAACAATTCAGTGCTTATCCTACAGCACCACACCAGACTGCAACAACAGCAGTATTTATGTTTTAAAAGTTGGTGGATAATTCTACTGTACAGCTAAGATTGGGAACCACGAACCTGCCCACCATATGAGACCAGGTATCTCTACCTAAAACAGAATCAGAAACTGCAGATACCCAGACATCCAGTTATTTGGCTTTTTGAACCCTCCGCTCTGCCCACTCTCCTTACCAGTTTGCTCCTGTTCTTGACCCCCAGCTGCTCCCATCTGTAAGTGATGCTTTTTCATGTGCACATTCCTGCTCCCGCTTTGGGAGAAGGTCTTCCCACAGACTTGGCACTGATGAGGCTTCTCTCCTGAAAGAGTGACCAGCATAAGACAGAGGCAAGTAAGAAGACAAACTGCATTTTCTCGGAGCAAGACAATGGATTCAAGATCTAGATGAAGAGGCCCAGAGAATGGTAAAACAGAGGCTGCTCCTCCTGCCACTCTCACCCTTCAGCACACAGGGGAAGGTAGGAAGAGTCCACCAGGAAAAGTCAGCGCTCATTGCCCTACATTCTAGTTCCTTCAGACTCACTGCACCGTTGCCTTCAAAAACCAGACTCTGGCTATAGGATCACCAGCCACACAAAACATTTACTTTCCTTTTCAGAGACAGTCTCTCCCATGGACCTCTAAGATACCTACTCTCCTCAAGTATTCTAACCAGTTCTAAGATCCCCTCATAAGCACTGGACTGCTAACCACAAGGTTGGCAGTTCAAACCCACTTGTCACTCTGCAGAAGAAATGTAAGGCTTTCTGTTCCCATACAGATTTACAGCATTGGAAACTATATAGAGGGTCACTGTGAGTTGAAATCAACCCAATGGCAGTGAGCGAGTATCCTATTTCTTGCCACAACTCTCAGGATCTTCAACATTCACTCACACTGCTGCCGCTTCTTACACAGTGAGCTCAAGAATTCTCTATGGTCTCAAATGAGACTCTATCCAACCTACCCAGAAAACACGCTCAAAGCAGGGGCTAAACATTCAAGTCCTCAGGGAACTAGGAGGCCTAAGTAAGTGAAATGAGCCAGGTAAGAGCTACAGTAACCTAGAGGTACCGTCCCAACAAAGGAGAGGCTGTTACTCAATTCCAGCCAAATACTGCCATGTACGAGTTTAGGCTGAAATTCAGATGGTCTGAATTTTTAAAAAAAGATAAGCTAGAAACAAGGATTTTCAAGTAAAACCCATTTATTTTAAATGTTGGGAACAAATTCACAATTTGATAAAAACAATCTTACATTGCTGATGGAATACAAAATACTACAACCTCTATGACAAATAATCTGACAATACCTAGAAACATTACAGTGTATTTGCCTTTTAATATGGAAATCCTACTATTTGGAATCTGTCCTGAACTTACAGTGGCAAAATGTGACATAATCTATGCACATGGGGATTCACTGCAACATTATTCCAAATGTTGGTGATATCACAGAAGACTGACTGAATAAAACTATGAAATATAAACGTGGTGGAATACTATATAAAAAGGAATGAGGAAAATTTCTATACGCTGACTTGTAGAGTGATCGATCACAGGATATACTGAGATAAAAAAAAAGTGCAGAACAGTGTGTGTGTGTGTCTCTCTCTCACACACACACATATACACACAAATACACCCGCACATACAGAGTCCTGGGGTAGTGCTGTGGGTTAATGTGCTGGGCTGCTCCTGACATAAGCCATGGAATTTTCAAAGCTTCATATGCATATGAAAGTTGAACAATGACTAAGGAAAACCATAAAAGAATTGATGCATTTGAGTTGTGGTGGTGGTGGTGAAGAATATTGAAAGTACCATGCACTGCAAGAAGAACACACAAGTCCATGTTGGCAGAGGTACAGTCAGAATGCTTCTTGGTGGCAAGGACGGTGAGACTGTGTCTCTCATACTTTGGACATATTACCAGGAGGAACCAGTCTCTGGACAAGGACATTAAACTAGGCTAAATGGAGGTCAGCAAAAAAGAGGAAGACCCCCAACAAGACAGCTAGACGATGGCAGCAGCAATGTGCTCAAATGTAAAACAACTGTGAGGATGGCATAGGACCTGGCAGTGTTTTGTTCTGTTGTGCACAGGATCACTATGCATTGGAACTGACTCAATGGTACCTAACAACAATCACAAGGTGGGCGGTTCAAACTCACCAGACACTTTTTGGACACCCTGTTTGTTGTTGTTGCTAGGTGTCACGAAGTCAGCTTGAGTAAAACATATCTTAGTCCTCAGACAGACATCTTTAAAGAGGTCATTTGCCTAATGGAACATTTTTATTTACTGACTGCTGCTTCCAGGAGTGTTGATAGTGGATCCAAGAAAAATGATGTCATTGACAACTTCAATCTTTTCTCAATTTATCGTGATGTTATTTATTGATCCAGTGAGAATTTTTGTTACTTTAATTGAAGTGTAATCCATACTGAAGGCTGTGGTCTTTGATCTTTATCAGCAAGTATTTTAAGTCCTCTTCACTTTCAGCAAGCAAGGCTGTATCATCTGCCTATCACAGATAGTTAATGAATCTTCCTCCAATCCTGGTGCTATGTTCTTCTTCACATAATCCAGCTTCTTGTATTATTTGTTCAGTATTCAGATTGAATAAGTATGGTGAAAGAATACAAACCTGACACATACCTTTCTTGATTTAAAATCATCCAGTATCCCCTTGTTCTGTTCAAACAACTGCCTCTTGGTTTATACAGGTTCCTCCTAAGTAGAATTAAATGTTCTGGAAAACCCTTCTTCACAATGTTACCCATAGCTTGACATGTGCAAACAAACAGGTATCTTTCTGGTATTTTATGCTTTCAACCAAGATCCATCTGAGGTCAGCAATGACAGCCCATGTTCCACATCCTCTTTGAATCCAGCATGAATTTCTGAAAGCTCCGTCAGTGTACTGTCGTAAATGTTTTTGAATTATCTTCATAAAAAAATTACTTGCATATGATATTAATGATGCTGTTTGATGGTTTCTGCATTCCACTGGGTCACCTCTCTTTGGAATGGGCACAAATATGGATGTCTTCCAGTCAGTTGGCCAGGTAGATGTCTTCCAAATTTTGTTGCACAGATGAGTGAGTGCCTCCAGTGCTGCATCTGTTGAAAGATTTCAATTTTTATCCCATCAATTTTCAAAGCCTTGGTCTTTGCTACTGCCTTCAGTGCACCCTGGACTTCTCCCTTCAGTACCACTGGCTCCTTCTTATATCTTTGGCCATTTCTTTTTGGTACAATGACTGCATATTCCTTCCATCTTCTTTGGAAGCTTTCTGCATCACTCAGTATTTTGCACATAGAATCCTTCAATATTTCAAATCAAGGTTTGAATTTTTTCTTCAGTTCTTTCACAACTTGAGAAATGCTGCACATGTGTTCCCTTTCGGTTTTCTAACTCCAGGTCTTCGCAGATTTCATTATAATACATAACTGTCTTCTCGAGATGTCCTATAAAATTTTCTGTTCAGCTGTTTGTCTTTATTTCTTTCATTTGCTTTAGCATGTCTATGCTGGAAAGCAAATTTCAAAGTTTCTTCTGATATCTTTTTTGGTCATTTCCTTCTTTCCTGTCTTTTTAATGACCTTTGCTTCTTCCTGTATTATGTCCTTGATGTTATCCCATAGCTCTTCTGGTCTTTGGTCATTAGTGTCTAATGCATGAAATCTGTTCATGAGATGGTCATTCAGGCGGGATAAGTTCAAGGTCATACTTTGGTTCTTGTGTACTTGTTTTAATATTCTTCAGCTTCAACCTGAACTTGCATATGAGCAATGTTTCACAGTTAGCCCCTTGCTTTGTTTTGGTGAATAGTATTGAGCTTTTCCACCACCTCTTTCAACAGCTATAGTCAATTTGATTCATGTCTGGAAACCCTTTACAGGGTTACTATCAGTCTCTACTGACCAGACGGCACTTAACAACATGTATAAACACACACACATAGTTACATACATATGCGAGGGGCTTCAAAAGTTTCTATTTATAATTCCATTTTCTTACAAACTTTTTGAAGCCCCCCTCATATGTATATATAGTACGATCTTGTGTACATATATCAATTATTAAAGCATACCATGCTAATAAGCAACAAAAACATGATCATTTCAACAGACAGGAAAAGCATTTGACAAAACCCAAGCCCTATTCATGATAAAAGCTCTGAACACAGTAGACTAGTAGGGAAGTTCTGCAGCCTGAGAAAGGCCACTTGTAAAGAAGCTGCATTAACACCACCCTTCACTGTCACCTTTCTTCTGAGGTTCAAATTGCCAACCATCTGTTTAGTAGCCCAACTGAAAACTACTAGCCCAAACAGCTAGACACTCAGTAACCTAACCATTTGGCTCACCTAGAGACTCCTGGCATCTTCAAAACTACTGTTCCAGCCTTGCTTTCACTTTAATTCACCATGTTCCTCTAACAAAATGTGTATTTTTTTTCCTGGGCTGTACTTGAACACTGGGAGGAAGGGAAGAGAAGGAAAGGGAGGACACCACTCTAGCTTTTTCTATTGAGCTTATAAGTTCTAGTTGCTACAGAATACTTTCAGATATTTTGAAAGACATCTTTAGCAGGGAAGATCAGGTCACCTAATAAAATAAGCAAATTAACAAAACTATAGGAAATTAAGGATCTAAAACAAAATGTGCCATGAAATCTTTCCTCTCTCCTTGTGTGCTTCTAGGAATGACAAGGTTGGGATGTGCCAGAGGCACATTTCTGCCACAATGGAGACTGGTGATGGACAGAAACCAGTACTGTTACTGCTGCTACCACTGACATAAATCTTACTTCCTTCTGATTAGAAATCCTCTCCAGAGGAATAGAAATACCAATTCCTAATGGATAGAATCCACACTTGATGTCATTTATGAAAGGACTCAGCAAAAACAACAACAAAGCCCACTGCTGTTGAGTCAATTCCAACTCAGAGGGACCCTACAGATGGCACATAACTAACTACAAAGGGCTTCCGAGGCTGTTCATCTTCAAGAAGCAGATTGCCACATCCTATTTCTATGAAAAGGCTGGTAGATCTGAACTACCAACCTTCTGGATAGCAGCCAAGTGCTTTAATCACTGCACCATCATCAGGGCTCCTGCACCCAGAATATTAAGTTCTGTGGAGTCAATTCTGACCCACAGTGATCCCGTATAGGGTTTCCAAGGTGCAGCAGGTGGGTTTGAACTGCTGATCTTGCGGTTAGCAGTCTACTGCTAAACAAATTTGCTGATTCTCAGCAGAAGTTTTAGATTAGAATGACATTCAATGGCTTAGTTGAAAACAATGTCAATTAGACTCCTCTCTCTATCCCTATCCCCTTGATTATATGACCTTTTGGGTGTAACTGTCAAGGTCTTTGATTTTTAATTCTGGCATAATGATAAAGGACATTTATTTATCTTTATGGTGAACAGTTTGTGTTTTTTAAAATCTATTACCCCTCATTCACCCCTCCAGTTTTCTACCTTTCCTTAAATCTACAAGCGGTACAAGTTCTAGTACCTGAGTGAACCACCAGATGTTTTCGGAGGCTAGAATACTCAGCAAAGGAACGGCCACACCCTTGGGCTTCACAAAGGAATGGCTTCTCTCCTAGAGACAGGAAATAGAGAAAGACTCAGTCTTCTGCTGAATTGACTAGTGCTTTATTTTCCCATCTATTTTGTACTGTTTCCAATGACTTACTCCAATTTCTTGCTTTCATGCTATATAATTTCAGCTGGGCTGCCTATCAAGTGTCACCTTTCAACCATCTTAGGTGCCTGCCTCCTGGAGCCTACAGTATAGTAAGGGATATAAGACCTTCTCAGATAACAATGATCTGATAAGATATGGGCAAAATTCATGGTTTCAGAGATCTCTGAGCTTTACACAAATGTAATTGTGGGAGATACCATTTTTGAGTCACACAGACTGTACAGAGCCTGTTCTAGGACTAAATGGGGTAAGGTGGGTGGAGATGCAAACCTTCATTTCTATCCCCACCTTAGAGCCTTTCCTAATAGACAAGTGCTGAGCCAAGGAGTAGATTCCCTGTGGGCATGATGGGGTTGCACACACCTGTGTGGATGCGTAGGTGGTTCTTCAGGTTACCAGCTGTAGTGAACTGCTTACCACAGTTGGACTCAGGGCACATAAAGGGCTTCTCCCCATTGTGAGTTCTCATGTGTACCTTCAGCCTCTGCAGTACATAGAAGCTTTTCCCACAACCCTCTGCAGGGCAGATGAAGGAGCGGTCATTTCTATAAAAACAGTAACACAGCAACAAGACTTGAAAATAGTCTTTACAAGGTAGGCAATAAATCCCAAGCCTGGGCCAAAATCTCCTGAAAACTTTATGAAAACTACATATGCCTAGGTGCTACATGTTGAATACCGATTTCACAGGTTTAGGATGGGGCCTAAAATTATATATTATTATTTTAAATTCTCCAAGAGAGTATGTTAACAATGATATTTATGACCTCTTGTACTAAGGCATTTAGGTGCCAAAAGTTTTACTAAATATTTATCAAGAATGAGGTATAGTGGCAGGGTTTGATGACAGACAGGGTAGAGGTGCAGTGAAGTTTGCTGTCAGCAATACCACAGAATACCAGGTGAAGAGGGTTCAGGGCATACCTCCAAAACTCTGACCCACGTATCTAGGAATATTTAAAAAGTCTGAAGGCTTATAGCTAGTGGAACTTGTAGCAGGAGTAAGAAATTGCATATTTTCAAATCTGTCAGGCTCCGCAGTCCAGAGCTGACCACTTGGGTGAGACCAAATGGCAAGACCAAGCAGGGAAACAGACCCACCATGGAATAATGCTGCGGGAAACTCAGAGCAAAGGTTAACAATGCACTTGGTTGGTTTTGCTTTGTTCTGATTTTTTTTCTTTCTTTTTGTTATCTGTTCATTGCCCCCTTCCCTCACCCCTCATTGTTTGCACACCGCCATTCTGGTGATTAGA